CGAGTTACGTGGGACACTGATGCTACTCTTCCCTTGAATAGGTTGGAGTTATTTTTTCATCGACCAGGCGTTTTACTTCTTCCAACTCCCACCTCGTCGGTTTGATTTCACTACAAGTCTCCAGACTAGGCTTCTCAAGGAAATAGCTTTGCTCCTGTTGTACGCCGCATTCTACTCGGATTCATTTGTCGGAGTTCTCCAGTCTCTTAGTTTTTGTGTTCATCCACTCAAAAGGTTTTCGCTCCATCTTGTCAATAACACACTGATGTCGTATATCCGAAGGTTCGATAGCACACCGCGGTGGTCTGCACTACTGCCTTCGTTGTTATGGTCCGCTCCTCTCCGGCTCTCACCAGATTCAGTGTGTATGACAAAAATGTTTTCAAGATGATGTAGATTTTCTCATTAACATGGAGATCAATGATAAGACTATGGTCGGTCCACTCCGTTGCTGTTCTCGAATATCGGTTGGATAATTTGGCACCTTATATATAGACAGACCCGTACACTATTTCAAGATATCAACTGGATAACCCAGATTAGGGTTATGAATCCGCTTTTCGTTTGACAAAAGGTGCAGGTCTCCACTTCTGCCTTTGCCTACGTCACTGGATTCAATCGTTTAATTGTTCCCACCCTTGTTGGAAATCATAGGCCATCTATTTAACATGCTACTGACATGAAACCCCCTTCTGATTGCCATTCGGTCTTTTCAATCCATGGTTACACAGACATGGCGAGAGGACCCAAGTGGTTAGAGCGCGAATTTACTGACCGGGAGGTCCGTGGTTCAAGCCCGACCTCCACCTCTCGACTTCCCCTGTCTGGGCTTGGGTAACTTGGCAGTATCCCAGCTCTCGTGCAACCTTCTGGTGGCATGGCAGCTAGGCACCGAAAGGGTGCTGCAGTTGAACGTTCTTTCTACGCCGTTCGAAAAGGATCCAGTTGGTTTAGCACGCAGCTAAACACAATCCGCGTATGGTGTTACTTATCCCGTGCGGATCCATCCGCATAGTTTGCCATGGCAGGCAAATCCGATAGCAGGTGGTAGGTAGTCCGCACCATTTGACTGGCAGTTCAACCTCTACGTATAATACAGCTGGCCGAAGCCAATACCAAAAATTAGTAGAGCATCAGCAAAATCTGTTGAACTCACCGTTCATAGCGAATTTCACATCGACAACCAGAATCACTCACCAAGCATGACGGCGTAAGTTTATTCAGCTTAAGAACGATCCAAGCCTTGTGTGTACTTTTTGACAACGGTTTGCCTTTTGTTTATTGAAGTGGACCTTGAAAGTGGCACCAAAGATTCCTATGGTTGCACGACCCCAGTCATTGGTTTCGTGAATCAAGAAAATCTCTTTAAGCAGTTTGTATCCTTCTAGAAGCAACATCCGCTACCGGAAATCAAAGACTAGGCCACTGTAGGTTTGTGAACATCGATCAAGTGTTCGGTGTACAACTTTCGCCGCTAATGGCACATCTGGACATGTTTAGTGTCCAAAGACATCATGCTTTCATTAATAACAATCCAGTACAGATCTGGGTGATCAACAAGAGGATAGTGATGGTGCTCGTGGTCGTGATCGTTTTACATTCAAATCATTATCTTTGAGTATCGCCCAGTACCTGAACTCTTTTATAAAACGAGGTTGAAGTTTGCTAAAGTATCCATTGCTATAATTTAAACTAATTTCTACGACGCAAGCAACATTTAATCCATTCCGAACTTAAAATTAATAGTGTTGCTAAACGAGTCAGTCAGTAAGCGGGAAAAAGTAAGCAGACGTATCCAATTAGTGAAGCCCGTTTGAGCTAAGGTGAAAACCCTAGTAGTAAGGGCAATAAACTGAGTCGTGGCAACTAAAGCCGATTTAGGGGGCGAGATGGCTCAGTGGTTAGAGTGCAAATTTACTGACCAGAGGGTCCGTAGTTCGAACCCGACGTCCGCCTCTCGACTCCCCTTGTCTAGGCCTGGGCAATCTGGCAGTACCCCAGCCCTCGTGCTTCTTTTGGGGAGCATGACAGCTAGGCACCGGGAAGATGTTACAGCTGAATAATTATTATTACTATTAGTGCCGATCTAATAACACAATTAGTGCCAGATGAAATGACTGTTGAAAATGCAGGGCATAAAATGGGCAATTTATGCTGTTTACGCTGAAGGATGCTATGTCCGTTAGGTTTCTTACACGGACTTGGTGGTTTCCAAGGCTCTTCCTGTGCCAAACCGCTGCCCCAGTTACAAGTAGGTCAAGTCAACTCTTGCCGCATGTGCCAACTTAACCTGGAGCAACGATCTACCCATGTCACCCCAGTGAATTTTCCCCAACGTGATGCGTGATAGTTCGCTATATCGACGACGATCCTAAGCAATCATTATAAATTTTATCGCTTTGATACCTAAACCAGAGTGCCACTGTTTTCTTGGCATCACTTAGCCTAAAGACCTGTCGTCCCACCGCATAATTCGAGCGATTCATTGCTGCAGACAGAATATCTGTATTTGCGTGACTTTTCCATTACAGTAGCTAACACCCTGAAAATGAGGAGCTTAACACAGGCGGTGTTGTAATGCAGGCACGTCAAAGGTCACACTTCCAGCGACCAGATTCATCTGTGAAGATAATAGATGTTGCAAAGGCCCCAAAAAGCATGAGTTTTTTCATGACTATTCCGGATTGGGAGTATTTCCAGCTAATTACATGACAGTATTGAGATGACTTTCGCCTGATACCTCAACGATGAGACTTTGATAATACTCACTTCTGAAGCTGTAAACAAATTGGTGTAGTGTTTCTTCTCATTATTAGATCAAAAACTGCATGTGCTTTCGAGCTACTAAATACTTTTTGCTAGTTTATAGCCTCCATGCGTTACCTTAACTGTTATTATATTTCTTCCTAGCCCGAACCCCAATGCGAGCGGTTGTTAAATACTTGAGGTACAGTAGACTTGTCCTCCACAGAATCGTATTTATTTCTGTAAGTTTTTCGAGGTTTGAATGAAGATGGAGTTACGAAAAGGTTGCTAAAGTAGAATCAAATTGGACTATTTCATTAATACCACTCGTCGGTACTCCCCTATACATAGAGTCCCAAACAAATGGCGCTAATAGTGTGTCGCGAATACCTTTTGGCAACTAGAAGTATTTCTGACGGAAAAGGCAGTGTTTTTGGTTTCAATTGCGGTTCTGTCTATGTTTTGGTCGTCGGTGCTGCGAGGTTACATGAAGCTTAACGAAACAGACTCTTCAGCCCAAGTGAAGCCAGTAAATGCACGAGTTTTTGACCTTATTTATCTGTGACCTGTTTTCTGCTCCATCCTGGAGGTCCCTTTTAGAAATAAGAATTACTTGAGCCCATTTTTGTGGGTTGATGTTGTTCCCTGTGGCGGCTGATTTCCTAGATGAATGTTTTGTATGGACGGGCATAACTGCGTTCGCTGCGTAAAATAATCGAAATTTACCAGGTTTTTCGCAAACACATTCCACCTATAAACACGGAGAGCGAACCACTGCATTTGACAGCGAAGTACAGCTGCTTTTCGTCCGTGCTGTTGCACCCAGTCGCTTAATCGCCCTTCCGTCCACATTTGAGCACTCTGTCAGTCATTCAGTCCGTGTGCAACTACTCATGGTCATTTGTCAGTAAACCACGAGTATTCGGCGCTGGTGTTACTGTTGATGACGATGATGACTCGCAGCCTAGACAGCTATCCGGTCGGCCAGTTCGTTGCTTCGTAAATCGGTAATTGCGCCACGCGTCGCTTATTGAGAAGACCGAAACATCAGGAATGCTGACTTGGTGATGATGGAATTGCGGTTTGAATGTGCAGCTTTCTCAGCATCACATCTGTATACGATACCTCCCATTTCACGGTTAGTAGATGGTTGTAGATTGGCGGGAGGGCTACTAACTACAAGTTCCTAGTGGTGTTTGAGTCTCAAACTGGTTATTACACTGTATGGGTATACTCAGGTAACTTACCCATATTTCTCCCACGATTCTTGATTAACCATCGTCAAAGTAACAGGCACTATAAGGCACTCCATGGTTATTTACTCACATCGTCATTGCTCGTCCGTTAGATACTCATGAAGCAACCGGTGTTTCATGGTTGTTTCGGGCAGACCCCACCCATGCTGCTCAGTCAAATGATCACTTAGCAAAGAGTTGTGACCGGCTTTACTTTATTCTGAAGGCGGACGGTTTAACTACCATCTGATCAGTCAGTCATTCAAGAGGGATCCTGATGTCGTCCTTTTGTTTAATCGCAAATCTCTGCCAGAATGTGGGTTGTTCACATGAGAAATGTCCAACACACTAGACGGCCACCCGGAAATGTTGGACTGACGCAAGGACATTGTTCTTGTCTACTAGTGGAGTGTCCTGCAATGTAGTTCACCTTCTCCTGAGAGAAAGGGAAGGAGATGACCTTCCTTGAGTGATCGCTTACTCGATGGCTTGTGAGAGTAATTTATCGTGGCTTCTCTTGGGAAGGGATTTTTCGCCGTAAAGAAATCACTTGGGCCATTTTATCTGTGTTCAGTGGTTAAAACACCACTTTCCGTGTTCGAATAGTCTTCCCTTCCTTGCACACTCTTCCCAAAGACTCGCCTCCGTCATTCATTTCTACTGGTCGGAAGGTCGAACTAACTGAGCTACGGAGTACTGCCTCACCCAGATTATCGATAAAATTCTCTACCCAATTCAAACATTCATAACTGCGGGAAAGAGCGCCAACTGCAATTTTAAACAGTCAACATTAATTTTTCAGTGTTACCATGCGATTCTCCAACACAGTCATTATCGACAACAATCTTATCTGGTGCTCCACCGTTCCCATGTCTAAGCGCCTATATTTTTATAACCTTTTAGCCTATTTCTCCTGGGGAGCTCCTGCTCTGAAGGCTTCCACACCTTAGCAACGTTCTACATTCCTGGTAAGTGTCGTTTATTCCTCTCCATAACTTACCTGACTTTGCTCCGCAGACGATGACAGTATTCCTTCACAAACACACGAACGCGGACACTTGCTCCAGTCAAGAGGACAATGGGCTCATTGAAACACTCACAAATGTTTTCAAAGAGAGGTTCGCCTATTCCAAACGTCTGACAGTTGCTGGCATTTTATCCTACACAACAGACGATGGTTCAGAGAAGTTTTTAAAAATCGACTTTTCATCCTCGGATCCCCCTAATCTTGCCATGGATTCGGCTCACCTGTCGTCTTCTACGGACCCGACTGAAATCATGCCAGTTGTATCGCCGGATTCCGATAAACATTCGTCCTCCACAGCCAACTGTTTGTCGGATTATTCCACAGCAGGAAGTGTATCACCACCATTGCTCCCACCGTTGGTTATCTGTCCACCAAAGGGTTCACGTACTTTGGCCCCGGAATCACCACTTATGGATGATGAGAATCCTAACGACCCGGCTGGTAGACTGCAAGAAGACTCCTCTGAACACTGCCGTCGTGACAGAAGGAAATTACGCCGTCCGAAACGTCAGATTGTTAATGCAGTTGTTGTCGGTACAAAACAGGACGAGGATTTGGAACATGGACTTGAATCTTCGCCATCCAATAAAAAGGGCAAATATACTGACTCAGATAGTGGTATTACCTCAGATTTCTCGGAAGTTAAGGAACTCGGTCAGAATGTTGCTCAATCTGTTATGATGTGTGAAGGTGCTGCGTCTCCTCCACCCTCCTTGGTCTCGCACACTGAGGCTGAAAAACCAGTATCTGATATAGCTCCTCTATGTTCCTCATCCTCCGCAATACAACCACCTTTTAGTCAGTCCAAACTCACCATTAATGGTAAATCTATTAGCATCAGTGAACTAGGGGACTTCTGTAACTTGCTCCCAGTTAATGCACTTCTTGGCCGACCCACGGTAGCAACAAAGGAGGGCATTGGTGGCGCGGAAAAGAGCATGGCGTCTGGAACACATTCCGTAATGCTCACAAACTCGAACGCGACGTCTCATACCGGAACAAACACACTTTTAACCGGCAACAATTCACTGGCGACGCAAATTTCTGGTCAGAGTGTTCTACTGAACCCCAACTTGGCTGCGGCTCTGGCCGCGGCGCTATCCGGTGGTACTAACAGCAGCCAGGTCACAGCGGCTTTTGAAAACAACCATCCATCTTGTATTTCGAATATTAACACACCATCCATCGCCCTTACTGGACCATCTGGAGAAATTTTGGGCACAATTCCAATCGCCTCAGCGACTAATGCACCAGCTGCCATCGCACAGCCAAATACTATCGCCCCTCAGAATGCGAATTTTAACTCTGGGATAAATTCTACGGCGGTTTCACTTCCTACAAACCAAGGTCTCAATTCTTCCTCTCTGATGAACACTTTGAATTGGTTGAAATATGCGACGGCACCCACAGATTCAAACCAACAAATGATTTCTCCAACACTGGTCACTAATCCTGCAGGAAGCAACACGACTTCACTGTTTCAGTCTCTCACACAACAGTCCCAGACAGCTCAAAGTTTTCCGGCAACCTCTGTCAGCAAGCCGCAACCGATGGCTTCTATTTCAATCGGACCCACGTTAGCGCTAATCGGAACGTTAGGACTCAACCAGTCTTCGCTGAGTGCCGGGACTCTAACGTCACATTCAACCGACACAACCTGCTCGGTAACACCAGCAGCAGCGGTATCCTATAGCACACCCAACCCTGGTAACTACGGTTCGAGCAACACCAACAACGCTGCACTGGTTGCAGCTGCCATACTTCGAGGGCTATCAAGCGTCAAGCATCCCCAGTGTGATGCTGTAGAAACCTGTAATTCTGATCCAAATGCAATAACCTCGCAAGGTTCTTTGACTCTCATAACAAATAACTTGTGCTCCGCAACATCTAGCCGACCGGGCATAATCTCCGCCGACGTCCCCCTAGGTTCTATCGCCAACTTGTTCTCTCCGAAGGGTCTTACAGGTAATCTTTCTACGGGGACGACCACGCTTACTCCTGAGCAATCCAACTCACTTATCGCAACGATGCTTAACCGAGGCAGCATTAGTGTAGGTAATGTTAACTCCGCCACTTCTCGTGGTTCCATCATGTTTTCTTATCCCCGAGGGTCGGGTGAAATGAATGTTGTACTCGCACCCGCTTCGTCGCATTCGTTCAATAGCCCCATGACATCGGTAGCCACCCTGCCCGCGGGTTTGTCACTTCAGAACTTGTCGACTGCTCAGCCCAATGCACTTACCATAGGTTCGCCTGTACTGTTACACACATCAGCCACGACTACATCTACGTTACAAACGACGACTGTTGTATCAGCTACTTCAGCAGCTCCATCTGTTGTCTCTTCATTGCAACGAGACAGTGGTGTTCCGGTTGAAAAATGCATCCCAATATCCCAATCTGGTGGCGGTGATGTGCGCAGCAACGTGACTGATCCAACTACTTCAGCGATTGACCGCATACTACAGACTATCAAGGGTTGCATGAATAACAGTACGGGCGGTGCTAGAAACGCAGATACAAAACTCAAGATACAACCGAAGAAAAATGAATCGAATAATACCAACATTAAGTCCGAGAATACCAGCGATCCGGCCTCTAGTCTGTCTTCCGAATCTCGAACTCTGTCCGTGAAGTTAACTCCTATTACATTTTGCATCAATAAATCCACAGAAGGTACTGCTTCAGACTTAGAATCTGCGAAACAACCCGAAGATTCCTCAAAAAGGCAGTTGTTGAGCAATGGACGGCTGTGCGCCGGTGCATCAACAACGGATGGCATGATAACCAAAGTCTATCGTTGTCGATACTGTGGAAAGACTTTCAACCGGAAATTTTGCCGTGAACGACATGAACGACTGCATACTGGGGTTAAACCGTATAACTGTGAAATCTGCGATGAAAAATTCATCCGGTTGGAGGACAAGAAGCGCCACGTTCGTTCGTTACAGCACTATCTAACGGGAAGAGCCGCCTACATGAATTCCGATATACCTTTGCTTCCGAGGGACGAAATCACTGACCAGAATACTGACTGCTCTAATTGTCTACCTATGCTCGGGAGGACCCTGCAAACAGAAGCTCAAGAAAGCATCGATGAGGCTTTCAACGAACTGGAAGCCCAGACTGGCTTAGACACCAGTGAAAGTACAAGTAATGATCACGGAAGTGAGTGTGGGTCTTTTGATGTTGAAGAGAGTCCAGAAAAGAACGACTACGGATTGCCAGGGTCCTATAACCATACAGGTCTTGAATATGCTTCTGAGGTGCCCGATATGAAAAGTTCTCTTACTAAGGTCGATGAGACGCTCCATGAGGAAGGGCTTGACAACAGTCCGGGAGCTACTATACTATCAGGCGTTGTACTGCCTGTGACGAAACCTACAAACCGATGTCGTGTGGTCTTAAGAGAAACTCAGTCGGAAATTAACAGTGCCAATAGTCCATCACAAGAGAGCAGTACAAAAACCACAAAGACAGGTGTACCCAATGGAGAATCTTTGTGTTCTCCAAAAGTTGGATCCTCGTAACAAGTATCTTCCCAGTCCAAACGTGTTACATAACCTCAGGATTTTCTCTTCTGACTCGGTCTCGCCCCCGAAAATTCCGGTTGCACCAGTATCGTATCTTCTGACTAGTTGGCACATGGATATCGCGTCTCCTTTGGATCTCCCCCAGGATTACGTTGTTTACCTGAATTACGATGTTTTACGCGCCTAAATTGATATGTACGTTCCGAATCCACATTTCGTGACATCAAATTTTCCACTTCGGACACTTAGGAGACCTTTATTTGTGATCATACGCACCTATTGCTACATTCCATTACTGTTATTTTCAACAGTTGTGCATTTAAAACGGTCTCAGCTCAGTTTTCCAAGAGTTGATGCATTCAGTCAAGATAGAGCCCCACATGACATTCCTCCGCTATCTCTTTTGTACTATAACTTCTACGTCGTCAGTCTTTTTTTGTGTTTTGCACAATGCTTTTTTGCATTCTGGTCAGTTTATTTGTAGTTTAATGGGAATATTTATCTCTATCTACCTATCTCTCTATGGGCACTTTACTTGGTTATTAAATTGTCTTCTCTCGAACACGACTTATCGATTTCTCCGATCAAGCGTGGATTTGGCGACCGCCTTTGTGGTCTGTGCTATGAAGTTCACGTGACCAAAGGGACATGTAGAATGAATTGAATCAGGATGGTGCGAGACGCACTAATCGATTTCTCAGGCCGATTAAAGGTCACAACCTCCATAACGAAGTCAAAACTAACACCGGTCAAATCTGTTTTATGTAACCGAATAGTGCATCGACACTTTGTGTAGGTTATGGTTTCCCATCATGTGTTGTTAGTGGACAGTCGTGCTACTCAATTTCGAATAGCTTTGCACAGAATCAGATTGTGGAAAGACTTGTTCCTTCACCATCAAAGTCTCCAAATTTTTCCAGTCGTCGGTGGGTCTGTGAACCGGACCGGCAGCTGATGCCCCGTTTACAGTGACCATTGTTGACCAGGCTCCTCAAATCATGTAGGGACTTATTATACGCCGCCTCAGTTGTTCTATTCGAGTCCAAGTCTAGTAAATTTGGCGCTTATCATGTCCTCGATGAGAACTATGAGAAAGTAACACTTGACTGCTCCATCAGCGAGACTCCTTGAAAATTGTACACATGGACCGAGCCAAGGAAGCACTTTGATTTCTTTTTCACGAAAGACTCAACTGAATCTCTCGTTTATGATGTTCTACAACTGATTGTGCTGCACACAGACCGCCTCATGTTTCAGTTGGCACGATATTCGAGATATCGCAGTACACTACTCACGAATCCAATTTGGGTTCAAGTAGAACATAAGGTTGATGGAAACTCGGGGATTGCGCCTACCTGATGAGCCCCAAGAAGGGTGAAACCGGTTGTCGGCCGTCGAAGAGTTTTCAACAACCTTGTGAGTAGTTTCTTTCACTTTGATTTCTGTTATGCTCTGCAGAAGCAGTTCCAGTATTTCTGGTTGCAGCTGTCAGGTCACATTAGTCCCCACGTCACAGCTCTGTTTCTGGGCTCAATGTTATATTGGGTCATTTATGGACAAGCCCCGAGTCGCGGTAAGTACCGAGAGTATCTTCCGCCTCACCAATGCAACCGTTTTCGAACGGTTCCCCCAAAGATTATTTGAAATATTTTACTGTATCGAAATCGTAAGCTTAACTCAAAGTCTGCATACGTATCAGATACCACAAAAAGTTCATTCGTATACACTTCCCCTTCGAAGAAACAGTCTGAGACTTTCATCAGTTGGTGACCAATAACTACCGTATCTCAGGCGTTCTGCGCTGGTTTGTTGAAGCTTTTTTCGTACCTGGGTGTTTTCAGTGGTTTATCGCTGTTGCATATCCGTTGTTTACAGATTGTCGTAACATGCTGAACATACATGATCGTCGTCAGCTGCCTTCATCTATTGAGCAAAAAATTAGCTTTCTCATCTAGCTTGTATAAGAGCCACTAAACACGACGAGTTGTCACGGGAACGTACAGCAGTGAAAACAATCATGCCTATCGAGAAATACAACGTTAGCTTTCGTCGCTTTGTCCTATCATTCAGCTGGACTACCTTCACTCAGTATTTGAGCTATGAAACGTTCCAGCAACTGGTACCGTTTGGGTATCTATGACTGAGTTATCAGATTAGTCTCGTCAAAAAAGTTTGGTGCATCAGCTGTGCTCATGCTATCGATTATCTGGAGAAATCTGGATCAATGGTGTAGGACATTGTAATTGTGGTATCTCCTTTTGGAGGGCAAATCAGCCGTTTAGGAAACAAGAAGCCTTTGCCTCTTCGATTTCGAAAGGCCTGTTCCCTAGAGGAGGAGTTCTAATGGAAAGAAGACTGTGCCTTTTAAGTCGTCTCCTCAGTAGTTTTGCTTCCTCTTTGGAGCTTTTCTCGGTAACAGAGTATTGGATGACTACATCTCTCCTTAGGTGGTATGTGAAACTGACCAAAGGTTTATCGAAGCTAAACCATCGGACTGAAGGGTGACAATATAAATGCCGTAAATAGTGGCTTTCCTCTTAAAGAAGTACTTTCAAATGACACGAATGGAGCACACCGGATGCGACGTAGCCCAAGACAGAGATGATAGTTTGCGCAAATGCTGTGCACTACCTGATTTCCAAACGGTAGCAAAATTGTGCCGCCACAGGTCCCCTGAAGAGATTTTTCATCTTCAGTCACTGAATACGATCTCGGGTTGGTCAGGAATACATGAGACCGCGGCAGAACCAAGTTTTCTCCACACAAGACCTTTATGATCTCCTACTGACAATCGTAGTCTACCTTTCTTTGGACGTATTTCCCCCAAGGTGTTCTATGCAGACTACTTTTGACGGATGTCAAGTCGTCCGCAGTATTGATCTAAAATTAACCTCACGGATTAACGCCCGAAGCTGTGAGGATCTGGAAACAACAATGACTTGTCAAGCTCCATTAGGCTCGTTTATCTAAGTCAGCTATTTATCACATTGCTTACGCCAGATCCTCTCTGCAGAGAGGTAAAACAGCTTGTTCAAGGTACAGTTACCGTGCCACATCTACTGGCACTCTGTGGGCAGCAAGTCCTCGATGTCTTCGGAAGATCGTCTGAATCCGATGAAATCGCCGGATCCGTAATGCTGAAGTACATGGAACGGTTTTGTGAAGAACTCCCTCACGATAGATGAAGTAACCAAACTCCGTAGGTTGCATCAGTGTGGTCACGTTCTCTGATGCCAGTTAACCGAATTCCTCAAAAAGACCTTTTCGCGCAACCACGCGAGAGCTGGAAATGAGCCAGGGGACGTCAACCAATGACCTGGCAGTGAAGCATAAAAGCCATTACCGACAAACTCAGCTGCGCCGGTCTTTGCCGTCTCCTTATATGGGGATCCGAGAAGGCACACCTCAATGGTTAGAGACGTTTTCATACATGGCCCAGTCGCGCCCTCGGTAGCTCTACGTAGTAATGCATAGCCCCTCCTCCCGATATCAATGAAAAGTTCGATGACAACCATGTATTTACGCGTCAATTGTGTCAGCTACCGCCACCGATGTGTAACTATCCACCTCTACCTCCTTAGACCATCGGTGAACGAAAATGTGACAGCCGTAATCACTATACATGTACGCGGTTTTTGCAGCTGGCGGAAAAATTGATTCTCGTTTGGATGTTGTACACCTAATCCGAATCTACCCTCATTTTTTGGGAAATTAACTGGGTAACGGTCATTTTGTCAAAACTTAGACATTCGATAAATTTTAAGTAAATCTATACATGTCTGGCGTCGTTTAACCCAAAGGTCAACTAATCATCATGCGCCGATTATGGCATTGTCCTCGTCTCATCTTAATTTCTCTCTCTCTCAGTTAGTTCCGCGCCGAATTCCCACCAATTTTTGCCCGATTTGTCCTGTACTCAGCAGAGGAAGTACAGATGATCTCAGCTCTGAAGGTGAAGCAACGTCGGAGGCGCAGTTTCAATGCTATCATCGATAACGAGTACTGCATATCCTAGAGCATAACCACGGCTTTGCTAGTGTCCACTGGTTTGCGAGAACTACTTGCATATATGTAGGCTCGTATGTATAACAGATCATGAATTTCGATGACAATGGCTTGAACACATTCCGAAACACGTCTGTTTAGTTACGATTGGATCTTCTGTGGTGCATTACTCCTATGCACCCACCCGAGATGGTAATAAGTTACTGTCGCTTAAGCTTCATTGGATGATCTGCTCGGTGACCTTGAGAAACAAGGGATGAACCGTTCATCTCTTATCGTGATGATAGTTCCTATGAAGTCCCGGTAACATACGTTGATCTTCCTTGGTTAGAAAGTCATTTTTTTTCTCTGGAGAAAAGCGTTCGTCCCGGACGAGGTCAGGAACGAATGCTTCATACGCTAAAAAGAAGTTGGATCGTTAGTCAAACCAGTTTAGGTGGGGTATACTTTAAATATTCAACCAAAGGCCTTGGGTTGTATAATCCCCCTCTGTCGCGATCGGTCACACAGTGCTTGATCAGTTGAAGTAGGAAGTTCTTTAATATAAGTATTTGATTTAGAATGTTGTTGAGGAGTTTCCTGCTTCTTTCGGGATGTTTTTCCACCGGTGATGCTCCGCAGGGAGCACCTTACAGAGATCGTTGTACTTATTCTTTAGAAATCTGTTTATTCCCAGCCAATGTTCTCTGATTTCGTTGGAAAAGTTCTATAAACCATGCTCAGTCGGACATCTGATTGACAAATTTTCGTGGTGACATCCGATTTCGCTCGCTTATATAATGAATGGTAGTGAATGTTCTTGGCGGCTCTGACTTGGGTTGCCTGCTTTATCAGAAGTTACTTAGTGCAATAAAGAATTAATTCTGCAATTATTCACAGTGATATATTCTTTTGTCTCAGTTTGGCCGATCACTATCAGCAGAAGTTTCCAGGTTACCACATAAATTAAGATGGCTCAGTGGTTAGAGCACTAATTTACTGACCTGAAGGTC